GGTTTATTATCAAAATCTTTTTTTGTCTTCTTTGAAGGATTAACAGTTCCTATCTACTCTACTTTCTGCAGTACTGGAGCTCTCCGAAAAATACCAGAAACGATTTGGCCCATTGCGCTACTTTGTCGCCGGTTTTCTTAAATTTTTATGCTTGCCCAAGTACAGCTACGAGCTGGAATACCTCCCAGCCCGATTGGAAGCCCGTGAAGGCAAACTCCCAGGCGACCACGACGTCATAGACATGGCCGAGCTCTACACCGACATAATGCGTCGGTCGAGCAAGGAAGGCCTCCCCCGTGCTTCCAGCCTCTCGAGCATCGACTCCATAATGACCCCGAGCCGCATGTCGGGGGCCGATGTCGACACAACCTGCAGCAGCAATGAGCCCTCAGATTACGTCCGGGCCATCGACCCGAAATCCAAACGCCTCTCGGCTGGAAGGAACAACATAACCGGGCCCGGGCCTGAGCCGGAAGTCATCCACCCTCCTCTCCCACTATCGGCCACTCCGAACTGGCCCAGGACCCGATCCAAGTCACGGAGTCGAGCCGGGCCAAATGCTGCTAATGACCCCACCAGAGGTTCGTGGGCCACAACCACAACTTACGACAGGGAGGATATCTCTTCGACGTTATCGGACCCCGGCCCGGTTTGGGATGCCGAGCCCAGGTGGGACTCGGAGCCCAACTGGGATGTGGAGAACCCAATTGAGCTGCCGGGTCCACCTGAGGGGTCGGAGGGAGATGATGTGAAGGATATGGAAAGTGTGGTGAGATCAGAGGAAAATTGGGTGGTCACGAAAGGTAAGTTTCTTGGGGTGCTCGTGTGCAATCACTCGTGCAAGACTGTGCAGAGTTTGAGTTCTCAAGTGGTGGCCCCAAAGGCGGAGCACGATGACAACACTTTGGACCTATTGCTGGTGCGTGGGAGCGGGCGGTTTAAGCTGTTAAGATTTTTCTTGCGCCTGCAAATGGGAAAGCATCTTTCCTTGCCGTATGTTGAATATATTAAGGTAAAAAGCAAAGTGTTTAAATTCACTTATTTAATTCCCCTTGCATTCCTCCACCATAATGCCCGGCACTTTAAAAACTGAAGAAGCCGAAAGGCTAGGAAGATGTAGATGAAGTGAAGATAGGAGAGATAATAAACTAGATGTGTTTTCTTCTTCTTTTTGCACCAAATCAATGTTCTTTTTTAAAAAAGTCAAGGCAAAGCAATTGCGGTTCTTGAATTTGCCCACTGAACTTTCTAAATGCATTTGATGCCCTCTGAAAATCTACACGGTTTGTTGCACTTTGCCCCTCGAGTCCTCGACCAACCAAACATTGACATGTCAGCTCATAATAAGTGCATGTCAGCTCCCAGAAAGTTAAAGTGAAAAATGTTTATCAGCTAGGCTTGCAAATGCAAAATTTCCTTGGTTTATTTGGCAAGATGCTAAACTCGTGATAGTTTGGTGGACAAAATGCAGTTATTCATTTACATTTACTTGTCCAGTAAAGGCAAATGGGACACTGTTTTAAAACCTAACTTCATGACTCAAAAAACATTTCTCAAACTGTTCAACTGGTGATAAAAGGAAGAAGAAATGATTCAATAACTATAAACAAGTCTCTATCTCTCTCTAGTATAATCCAGCTGCTTTGTTACTTTTGGACAGCTTTGTTGCATAACGAGTCGAGCGAAAGTTTCACCTAGATTTCTAACAAATGCAGGTTAAGTCGGTCAGAATAAAACCTGGAAAGCACACGCACAATGGATGTGGCATCGATGGTGAACTATTCCCAGTGAACGGACAAGTCATATGTTCGTTACTCCCCGAACAGTGTAGACTTATCGGCCGCTCTCCATCGCCTTCCAAATGATCACTTTGGATAACTCAAGTACCTTTCATCTCTCGTGTTTTGCTTTATCAGACGAAAGATAACTTGAATATGGCATTCCCCTTGATATGATCCCATCTTGCCATGTGTCTCTTTTTCTCTTGCAGGAGTTTGAGGTCTTTGTAAATTTTTGTCGATGCTTTTCGGTCTTCTGGATGAGAATTTGAGGTGCCTG